CGCTCAGAAATAAAAGACGATCACATACAATCAAAGTAGGCAAGTAAATATGATTTTAAAATATAAAATTCATTACAAATTTTACTGTGTAGTATATTCTATAATGATATATTTACTATACACTAATACACGTCTGGGCCGCCTGTGATCTGAAGTACAATTTATCTAAGAAAGCAGTATATGAACAATTTTATATCGGCCCTAAGAACAGCGCCCTTCAAAATTTCGACGACAAGCATGTGCGGCGAATCTATTTTATGTGTACGACCAGGATTGCACGGCAGGAAATAAAGGTTGTAAATCGCTAAGGAATGTTAATCCCCGTTTACATGAAAATTTCATTTGATCGAAAGCTAGCATGCTAGCTTTGTTCAAATTCAAAAGCTAGCATGCTAGCTTTGTTCAAATTCATTTGTCACAATATATTTGTCACAAATTTATCATCTACACGAACAAAATATCTTTGACATATGAAATTTGTCAAATAAAATTCGCTCGTGTAAACGCGGCTTTAGTATAGGTCATCTCAATGTCCGATCAATAAACAATTAAACGAACTTTATTCAGATAAGCGAATTAGTAGCTGATAATGATTGGGGCATATTTACAGCGAGTGAAACTTGACTGAAATCAACGCTGAGTAATGCGGACGTCAATATATCAGGTCACAAACTATTTCGTTTGGAACAATTTAACAATGTTTTCCTCGCTTTCCATGTAAACAAATCGTTTGTTTACATTTCGGTATTCAAAGTATTGAACTCTATTTCGAAACTATTTATATTTTCATGCTTCTACGGTATAATAAATTATCAAGATGCAACAATCAGGTTTGGCAAGAACTTAAAATGAAATAAAAACCTAATTAAAGTGTTTATATAACTGCAGAAGATTCCCCATGTGCGCATGCGCAGACCGGACTATACCCTATCTTCAAATTAAGTAACAATTGCCCGCTTGCTAACTTAGAATAAAACTAAGATTATGTTCTTTGCAACACAGCAGATTGTGAAACACATTCCAACTGATACCTTATTTACGTTTTTTCGGGAAAACTGTACAACCAGTCCAAAATCCTAAAGATCTTGATTGACTTAATTATGGACTCAAGTACAGCCATTTTCGTCCAAGCACAAACCGCAAACATTTTCGCGCGTTTGTTTACGTTTGAAACGGGGCGTTTACCGTTGGAAACTGAAATGTTTCACCGCTCATGTGACGTGTCACATTGAAAAG